TGTTTGAGGGGCTGCCCCAAAGAAGAGGGAGTCAAGCTCTTCTCCAAGGCGCCTGAAGGCAGGACAAGAAGCAACGAATGGAAACGAATCAAGGAGAGAAGCAACTTAGAACTAAGGAGAAATTGCCTGGGAGTGAGAATACTTAATCAGAGGAATGGCTTGCCTCCAGAAGTTGTGTGTGTGTTGTCATCCAGTCTACCACAGAGTCCTTTCAGCAGTTCCAGGAAGGCTCCACACCCATTTGCATCACTCAGGTGACCCTGAGGACACAGATAAACCTCCAAGTGGCCTTAATGGCTCTCTTAAAAAAGGCAAATGACCAGCCGTCTGCAAGGAGTATAAATCCTTCCATTCCCCACCATCCGGTCAGAGCTGAAGAAGCTTCTGGGATGAGAAGCGAAACGTCTTCAAAGGAAAAACAAGGAAAGTCCAGTTGCCTCCTTGAAAAAAGCACTTTTGGGACAAACCACGATCTGGATGACTTGAGCATCTCCAGAAACTCCAAAGGAGGATCTCATTCAGCCGTGCAGGTTTTCTCATGCCGAGTTTCTCTCCCTTGGCAGGGATGGGCGTTCCCACCATCACGGCCACCCGCATCCTGAAGGGGCACATGCAGAATCCGCCGTCTCCCGAATCACCGCTAAGTATGGACTCTTTTCCGTACGTGGCGCTTTCCAAGGTAGGAAGAAGCCCAGGCTTTTGTCCGTCTGATCCTGGAACTCTGAGTCGTTTGCCTAGTGGATGGCCTCTCGTCTTTCCCTGCCCGCCAAGGCTCCTGGGGCTTTAGGTGGCCATTCAACAGGGGAAGCCTGTGCACGGGTCGCAGTTGGGAGGAGGGTCCTCACTTTTTCCATGCCCCTTGGGTCCGGAATCTCAAAACCAAAGTGCCTCCGTGAGCACTTCGGGTAGATGAGAAGGGGTTTCAAAACCAGATTCAAGGCAGAGTCAAATAAAGGCAGTCCTCGTTTTACGACCGTCCACTCGGCGATTGAGATTACGACAGCGCTGAAAAAAGTGACAGTCGCATTTATGACCATCTCAACGTCTCCGTTTGTGACCTTCCCAGGGGGGTTTCCAGCCCGCAAAGTCGGTGTGGAAATGGCCCGAGAATGTCGCAAATTGTCGACCGTGTGATGACTCGCTTAACGACCGCAGTGATTCACATAATGACGGTGGCAAAAAGGGATCATGAAATTGGGGCGGTCACCTAATGCTTCATTTAACGACTGTGCCTCTTAAGGATGAATTTTCTGGCATCCGATTGTGAAAGCACGCTGAGGAGACGGTTTGCCACCTGTTGAACGGCAGCCTGCAGTCTGGGTTAGGCCCAGAACCGTTGCCAGTTGCAGCCAGCGATTCAAATCGTCATGATCCAAAGAGTTCCTACAGTTAGTCCTCAACTTACAACGGTTTGTTTAGTGCCCTTAGTTACAACGGCACTGAAAAGAGTGAGTTGCGAGTGAGTTTTTTACACTTAACGACCGTTGCCGCATCCCCATGGTCACGTGATCAAGAGTCAGGCCCTCTGTAACTGATTCATAGTTACGATAGTCGCTGCATCCCGGAGACACGTAATCCCCTTTTGCGACCTGCACCTCCCTTTTTTTCCTACACTTCTCCGTTCCCCTTTCCCTCTCTTTCCCCCCCTACTATTTGCTTTTTGTATTTTTGATTTTTATATTAAAACTAATAAAAACTATAAAAAAAATATAAAATGGGGCAAAGCTCACTTAACAACTGTCTCGTTTAGCAACGGAAATGTCGGGCTCGATTGCAGTCGTACGTTGAGGACTCCCTGTATTCTGCAGTTTTTCCGAACCCATCAAGGAGAGGCAGCCGGTTGGAACAGGGTCTGCTTGGGCCTCTTGTACCCAACAGCAGGGCTGGTCTTTCTTCAACCCCCATCCCGGACCGTCCCCCAGAAGCTGATTTGAGATCCTGGGAAGATGAATACTCGGGACTTTCTCCCAGCTGTTCCTCTTGCTTTCTGCAGACCTACAACGTGGACCGGCAAGTGCCCGACAGCGCAGGAACGGCCACTGCCTACCTCTGTGGGGTGAAGGGCAACTACGGCACCATTGGACTGAGTGCCGCTGCCCGGTACAATCAGTGCAACACGACAGCCGGCAATGAAGTCGTATCGGTCCTGAAGCGGGCTCAGCTGGCTGGTAAGGACGAGAGGGTGGGAAGTGGGAAATTGGAGGCGGGTGGTTTTAGAAGAAATGTATCAATTTCAGTTTGAATTTCAATCTCAATTTCAGTCTCAATCTCAATCCAAATCCCAATCCCAATCCCAATCCTAATCTCAATCTCAAACCCAAACCTAAACCGAATCCCAATCTCAATTTCAATCTTAATTTCAATCCCAATCCCAATCCCAAAATCAATCTCAATCCCAAAACCAATCCCAATCCCAAAATCAATCCCAATCTCAAAATCAATCCCAATCCCAAAACCAATCCCAATCCCAAAACGAAAACCAATCCCAATCCCAATCCTAAAACCAATCCCAATCCCAATTCCAAAACCAATCCCAATCCCAATCTCAAAATCAATCCCAATCCCAAAACCAATCCCAATCCCAATCCTAAAACCAATCCCAATCCCAATCCCAATCTCAAAATCAATCCCAAAACCAATCCCAATCTCAAAACCAATCCCAATCTCAATCTCAATCCCAATCCCAATCCCAAAACCAATCCCAAAACCAAAACCAAAACCAATCCCAATCTCAAAACCAGTCCCAGTCCCGATCCCAATCCTCCTACAAGGTCCCTTCCAACTCTAATTCTAATTCTAATTCTAATTCTAATTCTAATTCTAATTCTAATTCTAAATTCTAATTCTAATTCTAATTCTAATTCTAATTCTAATTCTAATTCTAATTCTAATTCTAATTCTGATGGCTTTCGCACGTGTCACTCCTCTTTCAGGCTGATTGAACGGCCCTTCCTTTCTCCCTTTCTTCTTCCATGGCTGCAGGAAAGTCCGTGGGGATTGTGACCACCACACGAGTCCAGCACGCCTCCCCAGCGGGGAATTACGCCCACGTGGTGAACCGGAACTGGTATAGCGACGCCAGCCTGCCCCAGTCGGCACTGGCGGGGGGCTGCAAGGACATCGCCCTGCAACTCCTCGAAAACGTGGACCTCACGGTCAGTTGGGAAGAGTTGGAAAACCCATCAGCCTTCTTTGCAGGACATTCAGCAGCTCCAGGAGCTGCTCTGAAAACATACAGGTAGTCCTCGACTTACGACCAGAACGGACCCCCGAAATTTATGTTGCTAAGCGAGACATTTGCGAAGTGAGTTTCGCCCCATTTTACTTCTTGCCACATTTGCTAAGCGAATCGTGGTTACGTTTGTCGCACGGTTGTTAAGCGAATCAGGCTTCCCCGTTGGAGTTGGCTTGTCCAAAGGTCGCAAAAAGGAGAATCACGTGACCCCCGGGAGTCTGCGACCGTCATAAATACGAGTCCGTTGTCAAGCATCCGAATGTGAATAACATGACTGTGGGGATGCTGTAGTAGTGGTCGTAAGTGTGAAAAATGGCCATAAGTCCCTTTTTTTTCAGGGCCGTCGTAACTTCGGTCACTAAGGGAACCGTTGTAAGTTGAGGACTACCTGCAGTTTAAAACAAGAGAGAAAAACCGCACCTTTCCCACGAAGCCAATACCTGTCAATCATTATCATGGTGTTGGTTCTCTGACGTTTACTCGGTCCGTTTTATGACACTTCCTGTTTTTTAAACTCTTTCCAGCTACTTCGAGAGCACTTGGGAGAATAAGTAGAAGGGGCAATATGTATTCAGTAATAAGATAAGCCAACTCCCGCTTCACCAGAAACGGGGAACGTAGCGGACAAAGGTTCATAGCCTCGTGTTTTACGCTTATCGACTTTCTGCTGTGTGCATAATACAAATGATGTACCAATAAAGGAGAATATTTGTAGCTCGGGGCTGAATGAGGTGGTCTCTGGGGCTTGGCTGTTTTCTTGGAGACGTTTCGTTACCTGAATAGGTTACATCATCAGTGCTAGGCCTGATTAGTGCTGGTCCAGAGTAACACTGATGATGTTGCCCAGTCAGGCAATGAAATGTCTGCAAGTAACAACCAAGCTCAGAGAGCACCAAGGGCCCCACCGTTGTCAATCACCACCACCACCACCTCCTCCTCCTCCTCCTCCTCCTCCTCCTCCTCCTCCTCCTCCTC